ATCGTTGGCACTTGTGCTTGAAAGCCTCACAGCTGAGCAGCGCCTTCAACTGTTTTTATGCAAAGTAGCAACACTAGTTCTGAGATGGCTGGAGTAATTCTGATTCCCGTGCACCTTGCTTCAGCTGGTTCCCCTGGGGCTGAGCCAATCAGCCAATGCATCCTTGACCAATGCAAGGTGTTGAATGTTGGAAGGCGTAACCTGACCTCCTCCTGCACGGTCCTGGGTTCTAAACTACCCGCTCGCTGGGTGGTTTGGGAAGAGGAGGATGTGCGTGTCCACTTGTGGACAACTCTGCTGAATGTTCAGCAAAGGTTGTGACGGTGCATAACCAGTGGGGGAGATGTACTGAGAATACTGCAGCGGCATCGCACAAGTCACCAGACCGCTTCCACTGGAGCAGGGGTGGCTGTTTTTTGCTGCCCCAAGCACGGCAGTCAGGCGGCCTGCGGCGGCATGCCTGTGGGCGGTCTGCAGTCATGCGGATTCGGCAGCGTTTCTGCAGGTGATCTGCCGGTCCCGCGCCTTCGGTGTACCCGCTGCCGAAGCCGCAGAAGCGGCGGGCCTCCCACAGGCACACCACCGAAGGCGGCCTGACTACTGCCCTCACAGCAACCGGCAGGCCACGCCCCACGGCTTGCCGCCCCAGGCACGCGCTTGCTGTGCTGGTGCCTGGAGTCGCCCCGGCACTAGAGTACTGGCCACGTGAGCCAAGATAGCAGGAATAGAGGGTGTTCGAATGGCTTTTGAAACACACTGTAAAGCCATAGCCTTCGGTAGCAGAGAGGCGTGTCCCAGCATGCAGTGCACCAAATTGAGGAGAATACCCCAGCTCATGCCCAGAGGCAGCATTGCCTCCTGGGACCTGTGGTCTCTGGGCTGCAGGCCTGTCAGACTAAGGTGACTGTCAGCCGCGTTTGGCCTGAGGCCTGACTGCTCCTGAGCGAAGAGTGTCCATGATGGTGGCCTTGTTCTTCTGCAGCCTGTACGTTTCCTGATCGCTTGCTTGGCTTCCTACTCCCAAAGCTGGAGAACCACCACGAGAGGATACGGGTGGGGACGCTGATCATCATGAGGCAAATTATCAACTGTGCCCGTAAGTAACACAGGGACCAGCTCCCTGTAGCAGCCCGGTCGTATCCATGCAGGGTGCCAGCGCCCAGGTGGGAATTCCTGCTCGGTGCTGGGGGCTGGGATTTACGAGGGCTGACATTCTGGCAGACAGTCCCTGAGTCCTTCGGGGCAAGAGGAGACCATGTGATCTAGTCCGGCTGGCTGTACAGCGCAGGCCAGAGAACTTCCTAGACAAACACCCTTCACGGCCTTGTGCCCCAGACGAGCCCTTACGCCAACATCCTATTTAGAATGGACTGTGCTGTAGAGCATCACAAAGCAGGAACCTTGGGGCCACCCTGCAGGGCATGGCTTGGGATTTAAGCTCTATTCTTTGCTCCCAGCCCATTGTGGGCAGACAACTCTGAGGAAATAGCGCGCTCTTCCTCGGGGGTGGAGGGAGTCGGGAATCCTTAGGCCGGGGAGCCCCCAGGCAGGTGGGCAGCTTGCGAGTAATCCGGATGTTCCTCTGAGCAGACCTGGCCTAGGATAATCCGCTACACAAAGCCTTTCCCTGAGTAGCCAAAATACCTCAGGCCAACCCGACCTTTTATTGCTGTGTTAACTAATCGGGATCTCCGCTTCCAGCCCACGGGACTGTTCTCCTGGCATAGTTATGGCAGAGCGGACTCCGGTGCCGGATGGCAAGCCTGCTCTGGCCTCATCCACGCCTCTTGGCGTAGAGCTGCTCCCTTCCCAAAGCCATGGCATATAACTGTTAGCAACTCCACCCAGACTAGCCAAGTGTTGGCTTGGACTTCCTGCTGGCACAACGCTGCCCTGGATTCCACGCCTCCTCGGTGTGCAGAACCGGCATGGAGATTGCAGGGGGGCTTTGTAGCCAGTTGCTTGTTAGGTGGGGTGGAAAACCAGCTTCTTTCCTACTCCATGGCCCTTCCAAGCGGGGGGAGGAGAGAAGCACGCATCTGGCCAGGGAGGGTGGTCAGTGCTGGATGCTCTCTGGGGCCAGGCCCTGTGATCCTGTCAGTCTGGGTAGGGAGGTCAGTGATGAGTGGCTGAGCCAATGTTCTCTCTTCCAGCCTCTCAGATGGAGATTAAAAAGCCCTTTATTCTTTCTTCGATGAAACTTCCTCTGCAGGACAGCAGTAATAAGGTAACTGGGAACTCCCTCTGCTGTCCCTAACTCCCAGCTGGTCATGTGGGGAATGGGGCTTTTCTGGGACTTGGCTCCCCTTCGGGGCCCTGTGGCGTTCTGCACGTGCCCCATGCTGTACCAGCACAGCTCACCATGGGGCTCCCTGTCTCTTGCCCCTCTTCTCATACGAGCCCCCTTGGCCCTCTGAGGTCACCTTCTGTCTCTCCTTCAGCGCCCTCCTCTGAGCACTTGTGACTCCCCTGCTGAGCTCCAGGGGGTTCCTCTTTTCAGACTAACCCATGTGTAATGACGATAAGCCCCTCTCATGACCGGCTGCTGTGATCCTTGTCCTCTGTCCTCCTGCCCTGTGTCAGTGCAGCAAAGGGGGGGGCTAGTTTAGACATCAGCTGGCTGGGGGCAGCTCCCGGCCCCATCTCTCTCAAGCAGTGGGTCTGAGCAGCGTTCCTGTGGCTCATCCGGCTCGGCAGGGCGTGGTTCTGCTCGCAAGGCACCAGGGTTTGGCTTTCAATCTAAACACGTGGCCCTCTAGAGCAGCGGCTGGTGCAGCCTTGGGAGGCTCTTAAATGGCTTGTAAAGAATCCCCTCTGGTGTGCATGGCAGCGTAGCCCAGCCGCTGGCTTGCGTTCGCATAGGCGATTCCTGCTAGTCCCCACCTGCTCCAGGATCCTGGCCTCTGCTTTGCTCGAGGGGCTGTCGCTGTGGAGTTCACCGCTCACCCTCTGTTCTGCGTTCCTCTAGGTGAAACGGGCCGTGGTGCAGGTGATCAGCGCGATGGCTCACCATGGCTATCTGGAACAGGCGGGCGGGGAAGTCATGATCGAGTACATCGTCCACCAGTGTGCCCTTCCTCCTGACACGGTAAGATGGCCATGATACGGCCAGTTCTTACAATCACCCTTGCCTGGCCCTCCTAGATCAGGGCACACGACTCGCGGGGAGGACTGGCTCTGAGCCCTCAGGCTGTTGGCCTGGGTGTAAAGTTCATTTGTCTAGCCTGGCGGTGGTAGGCGCTCTCAGCCGGGCCTGTGTGGTCTATCTTGGGCCTATGTGAGAGCAAATCTTGGTTTTCATTCTAGCCAGCACATCCAGGGGCAAGGGCATTGGAGCCTTCCCAAAAGTGTTGGTGGAGGGGGAGGGGGCCCTGTCTCCTCTCCCTCCCCCACCCCCATCCAAGCCGGAGTGGGGCCAGGGAATCGGCCCCCGCCCAGGTTTTGGGGAGGGGGGGGCTGAAAGCAGCCCCCTGGCCATGTCCCTGCCCCCTGGACTCCCCACTCGTGGCAGGTGGAGGGACCCACTCCCCATAGCTACCCGTGTGGCTCTCCTTGACCCAGCTCTGGCCGAGGGGGGGTGGCAGCCTCCGAGCCGCAGCGCCCCCCCCCATGGTAAAAGCTGTGCAGGCAGCAGTGGGGAGCCGCAGTGGACCCCCCATGTATCCGCGCTGCAGGTGGGGCTGAGGACAGCAGCACCAGCCTGTGTCCCCGTCCCCCAGACTCCTGCCCGGGGTCCGTGTCGCGGCTCTTATCATGCCGGGCTGCGGCTCAGAGGCCCCGCCTGTCAGGGTAAGAGCTGTGGGGAGCGGGCATGGAGTCGCAGAACCTACACCTGCCCTGGGCCAGGCGGAGAGCCCAGGGGGCAGGGTCAGGGCTGGAGGCTGCTCTCTGGGTCCATGCCTGGGCTCCCCAGCCGGGCTCCACATTCAAAAAGTGGGAGGTCTATTGCTCCCCGGTGTCCCCCCGTTCGGCACCTCTGTCCAGGGGTGATACGAACGGCCAAAGAGATTGGGTTTGGCCCTGGAGCCCCTGGCACAAAGTGTCTGAGCTGGAGCAGACCCCAGCTGCTCTTGCCTTGGGAGCAGAGGTGTGGCTGTGGCGATCAGAATCCAGCGCAGTGTGGCCAGCCCAGTCTGATGAAGATGGTGGCCTAGCTTGGCAGGGACCTCTCGACTGCAGACTGGACCGTGGCGCTCTGCAGGCCTGGGAGCCTGGGTTTCTATGGCTGCTTGCACCACAGAGCTGCCTACTTTGGTGCTGCCAAGAGCCCAAGGAGCTGGCACATTTATAGATGTGGTCCCAAGGTGGGCAATCCCCCATCTGTCAGTTCTTCTTCTACCCCTGGCTCTGTCCCTGCCAGTCCTCTCTGGTCTCTTGGCCCTCACGCAGTCCCTTGCTCACACGCTGAAGCGTCTTGCATCACAATTGCTGGAACTTCCTCCCTCCTCCTTCCTCAGTGGCTCCTCCCTGACTCCTTCCGCAGGGAAAGGGAAGAGCTGAGCTAGACTGGCCAGGGAAGCAGGGGTGGGGGTCTTGGCAACTGATTCTCCCCTCCTTAGCTTCAGCCCAAAGCTGGGGGGGGGAGCCAGAGCACCCAGGTAAAAGGCCAGGATTAGGCCGTGCCTTCCTCTCGTGGGCTTCCTGGGCCTAGTCATCTGGGTCCAAATTCTCAAGTGTCCACTTGAGACGTGGTGCCAGGCTGGCTGCTGCAGCCCCAAGGCATCGGTTGGAACGGGAGGCGCTCGCATCGGGGAAAGCCCAAAATGTCAAGTTGGGCACCCAAAATTCACAGATGCTTAAAAATAAATAAAAAGGCCGTGCACTCAGTGCTTCCTTTCCCGTCAGTAAAATGGGCGCACTCTGGCAGGAGGGCGGCCTGCAGCTCCTTGCAGAGACCAGGTGACTGATGTGCAAGGAGTCAAACTAGCGTGGGGCGGGGAAGGCAGGGGCCCGTTGTGATCCCAGGGTAGCGCTGCCATCTGCCGAACATGCTGTGTTGATGGCTTGGAAAACGTGAGCCTGTGTTGGTGGGGGAAGGGGGTGATGGTGCAGCCCCAGTGGAGAGGGAGCTGCCCTCTGTTTCCTGGGCCTGATCACAGCTGTGCTCCTCTCTTAACCTGCGTTCTTGCTCCTTTACAGCACCCCAGGAAGCAGACGCCGGAAGCTGATGACCTAACTAGCGACAGCGTCCAGAACATCAGCATCAGTACGCTCTTTCTCATCAGCACCACTGTCGACAGGATGGACGAGGTGAGTCTGCGTAGCACTGTAGCTCAACTCCGTCTGATGCCCGTACCGCCTGCCTTACCAAGCACGTGAGCTGGGCCTTGCCAGACCAGCCCCAACCTCCTTGCCAGTGCTGCACAATCTGCTGTCAGGCTGCTGCAGTCATAAGAACATAAGAACGGCCGTACCGGGTCAGACCAAAGGTCCATCTAGCCCAGTATCCTGTCTACCAACAGTGGCCAACGCCAGGTGCCCCAGAGGGAGTGGACCAACAGGCAATGATCAAGTGATCTCTCTCCTGCCATCCATCTCCATCCTCTGACAGACAGAGGCTAGTCCCAAAGCCGGGCTCTCTCGTCGGAGAAGAGAACAAATCTGCTCTTCACTGAGCTGTTTGGTGTCAATCGGAGTCCAGTTGCTCTTTCCTCTAAGCTGAAGGCATCTGGATTTCTAACCTCTGAATAAGGAACGGTCTCGGATGAGTTTGTAAGGTGGTGGAAGATGAGAAGGCCTTGATGTCCGTTAGCGTCCGGGTTCAGAGCAGGTGTACAAGGTGCTGGCCAACTTGAAGGGCTCGGTCCTTCCTGAAAAGAGCACTGGTGGCTCAGAGGAGGTGAATGTTCAGACCGTTATTCCTCCATCTTTGATGCCACACAGATGGTGCACCTCAGTGGAACACCCCCCCCCTCCCCTTCCCATCCATCCAATCCCTGTGGTCAGCCGTTTCTCATGGGGCTCTCGGAGTCCTTTCGGTTCAGTCCCTTGGGCAGGGACCTTATCACATTCCCCTGTAAAGCACTACCGGTGCTAGACAAACGTGAGCAACTTGTTCTCCACAGGTTCTCTGGCCGTATCTCCTGGAGTTCGTGACCCCCGTAGAGTTTACCGGTGCCCTGACTCCCCTCTGCAGGAGCCTAATGCACCTGGCTACGAAGAGACAAGAGGAGGGAGAGACTACCTTTCTCATCCACTACGACACACATGGTTTGTATCGGCAGCTGCTCTCCTGGGCAGGCTCTGCGTGCTTCCAGCAGAGGAAGTGTTGAGCGTCCAGAGCTTCTAATCTTGTGCTCAGGCTGTAGGTGAGCACGTTTCCCATCTGACGCTTGTTTCTGTATTTGTAGCAAACCTGCCATCACCGTGTGCTCTAATGGCGAGGCTGCTGGTAAGTGAGGTTGGGGCTGGCCTGGCTGGGTTCTCTGTGTGCTGAAAGAAGGTGGCATTTTCTTCCCTTGAGAGGGTGGGGAGAATGGATTGCCCTGGTACTAGTGCCCCCACCCCCCCGACTACCCTGCCCAGGGCATCGGGACCCAGGTGCCTCCAAGCCGGGGGTGCTGTAAAAGCCTGGATAATCGTTCCCATGGGCCTTATTGCTCCTGTGGTCACCGTAATCTGAGCCCGATGTGCTCTGATCCTGGGAGCAGCAGCTTGGTCCTTTCTCCTGAGGGAGTTCTCTGCAGTCTGTCCATCCTTTTATGAGCCAGGGGAAACGCTTTCAAAAACATCCTGTCTTCATAAGTGACTTGGGGTTCCATGTGCCTAAATCACCTCTGAAAACAGGACTTGGGCACTCTCGGAAACGTTACCCAGGAGCGTCTTAAAAACCAAGCCCCTCCGTTCCTTGATATTGGAAACGTCCTCCCACGTCTCAGGAAACGTCCTTGGCAGAACATCCCGTCTCCCCACTGTCCGCTGCATACTTGTGTCCGGCTGCTGGTGTTTCTGTGATGGCTAAAGCAATTGCTCTGGGTTGGGGGTGGGGGGCGTGAAGCCGTATTTAACCTCCACATCTTTCTGTAGCCTTTCAGCGTGTGTGGGAATTATATACACACCTGTGAATTCACCTGCTGTGATTCTCTTCTGTCCCATTTCCCCCCAGACTGTGTCTTCACAGCCCTATTTAGGGGATGGTCGGGGGGCAGCTGCTTTGCGTCTGCTGAATGTATTGCACCTTAATATCCATCCCACGCTGGGCAAGCTGTGGAATAAGAAGATTCCCCCCTTAGTGGAGCACTTGGAAGGTAAGGCATTAATGGGGCCACGAGCGAAAGATTCTTCTTACGTAGCCTGCGATATCTAAAGGCCGCTCTTGAGGTGCGCTGCCGCACTCGGGTACTGCGATGGGCAGCAGTCTGGAACTACTCTGCATTAACTGTAACTATTCAAACATGAAGAGGCCACGCAGATCACTATAAGCCACCCACGAGCTGCTCCTCCCTCTGACAGCAGCCTCGGTGTGCAGCTTCCAGGAGGCAGCTGTCCTGCCCTGTCACGCGGGGCTGACTTAGTGCTGTGTCCCGGAAAAGCCTGCCTTCAGGCATCAGGAAGCCAGCCACACCTTGAAGCCTGTGGCGCTTTGAGGAACAAAATCTAGAAAACCACAGAAGAGAAACACTTGGCCAATTTTAGGCTCTGATTCTCTGATCCCCGCGATTCCTGCAAGGCCAAGGCAGGGAAGTGCGGCCAGGATTCTGCAGTTCAGCCCATGGTGTCGGTTGGTACCTTTTAACATGGCGCTGCAAACTCTTGTCTCCTTTCTTTGGAAGGAGCGCTGCATGCTGGGAACAATGTGCAGGCCATGCCTGTGTTAGTGATGCCCTCTTATGCAGTTTGGGTGTCGCCCTGACACTCCTGATTGGATGCAGCCTTCATGTTGGCCACCCTAACATGAAGGTGTGGCCTCCTGTGGGGCTTTGCATTCCTGCACTTAGCTAATCCTTCCACTTACATAATGGCTGTCCTGGGTCAGAGCAAAGGTCCATCTAGCCCAGTATCCTGTCATCCGACAGTGGCCAGTGTCAGGTGCCCCAGAGGGAATGAACAGAAAAGGAATCATCAAGTGATTCATTCCCAGCTTCTGGCTAACAGAGGGTAGGGACACTTCAGTGAAATAATCTCAGTACTCCCACCTGCGGGCTGGGGGCAGTGTGACCCGCCAGTCCAAAAAGCAGAGGTTCTTTGGTGTAAATTCACATTCTTTGCAAGCTCTTCAGTTGGCACCCTGATTAAATGACCATTATTGCTGCTGTAACTGATAACTGGACTCCATTTATGTCTCCCAAAATATTGCACTTAACCTGGGTTAAATCAAAGGTAACTGGGTTCCTCTTCATGCTGCATTCATAGAATCATAGAACTGGAAGGGACCTTGAGAGGTCCTCTAGTCCCGTCCCCTGCACTCATGGCAGGACTAAATATTATTTAGACCATCCCTGACAGGGGTTTGTCCAACCTGCTCTGAACAATCCCCAGTGATGGAGATTCCACAACCTCCCTAGGCAATTTATTCCAGTGCTTAACCACCCTGACAGTGGAAGTTTTTTCCTAATGTCCAACCTAACCCCCTTGCTGCAATTTAAGCCCCTTGCTGCTTGTCCTG